CATTCCATATATGGATGAATTGAGGTGAATATCTCCTGGAAGAGAGCACTGTGCTTCACTAGCCATTTTTAGCACGAAAGCTTATTTAAGAGAGAATCTTTACTTGACATATCATGTAGTAACATTTAAAAAAAAATACACCTCCAGAAAAGAAAAAAAAAGCTATATGGAGAAAACGTAGTTCACATATTTGAATAGAACTATCAGCAAATGGGATAGGAAATAAATATCAATGCTTTACATTTATATAATACCTCTCATAATTACTCAAAAGTATTTACTTAAAAATTGTATTTTTTCCAACTAAAGGGAACAGATGAAATGAACATTCAAGTAATTTGGCCTGAGGGAAAACCATGCATTGCTCATGACACTAAAAACAACACATGAGCACACACATGCACACACACACACACACACACACACACACACACACACACACACGTCTCACCAATAGTGAGATCATTTTCTGACGACATAATTAAGGGACATTATTGGAATTACTTTAGGAACTGATTTACAAGGTTTCTCTTAAGAGGAGTCCCTTTTGTATTATCTAGAAGAACAGGAAAATCAAAAGCACTTACACACTGATGCATTCCCCATAAATCTTTAAGATGAAATTTTAGGTTTAAAAAACAAGCTATTTTAAACAACCATCAATGCAACGAAGAGAACTTCCTGGTGGGTCATGAATGAGTATAGCCTGGAATCCTGAGGAGATTGCTGAAATAACACAGGATTGCAAGCAAGACAGACCCCTCATCACTCAGGAATGTGAGGAGCCTCAGGCTAGCACACAAAGTGGGCCCTGAGCCCCTGAAGAAGGTGGTGCAGACAGGTGGCCTGATAGAAGAGATGAATGACAAAAAGAAGATCATCGCCAGCTCGAATTCATGCCTTTCTGTCCAGGACTGGGAGAGTAAGAATCTTTAGCCAGTGAAATTCTCATGGAGATGTTGGACAACTCCTGATCCAACTTGGCTTTCTGTCCTGAAAACTTGATCTCAGGATTATACAATGAAAGTCAACAGCAGACTTGAAAATGAAAAATAAAAGTTGAATAAGTAAATATTGCCTTCAATTGATTGACTATTGGTCACTAACCAAGACTGTTAATATTTCTTCTTAGGAGAGAATCACAAAGGCTCAATAACTATGTGCATATGATCATATAAAATGATGCTTATCAAAATGAACTCCAAGAAAACAAGAGGGTTTTTTTTTCCAGTTTTTGTGGGTTTTTTCTTTTTTTCTGTTTTTGCCCTTTTGTCGCTGTTTTTCATTTGTTACTTTGGTCTTGTATGAGAGTTTATCTACTTAGGGGAGGGTAAGGGGAGCACAGAAATGGTAGAACAAAGGGTGAACAAATGCAGCAGTGATACTCACTAGACATTAAGTTAAAAATGAATTATACATCTTGGGTGGTCAGAGGGCTAGTGAGGGAAAAACTTTGTTCACAAAAAATGTACTCATTACCTGACTTACGTAACTGTAACCCTTCTGTACATCCAGCACCTTTACAATAAAAAAATTTCCAATTTGAACAATGTGACCAAAGCCACCTATAGCCTATATAAGTAGAGTTTAAAGTTTATCTTGTTTGTTCGTACCATCCTATCCCTTCTAAATGAATCTGGCTTGTGGCTATTGCTCTTTAAAAAGAAAAAAAAAAATCAAACATAATCAGTACTGAGATCTTAATGATATTCCTTTCCACTTACAAAGCTAATGGCATTTTCCATCCAAGAGGCATATTGGATGGAAAAGAATAGTTGAAATATCTTTAAGAAATCTTCTGACCTTTCTTCTCCCACCCACCACGACAAAGATTTTGGCCTATCTTGTAAAGTTATGCCTACCAATACTTGACTAGTCATACACAGGATGTGAATAATTCTTGTTGAATAATTTGTGTTGAGCAGTCATAGAGTTATTGTATTTGAAACTGAAGTCTATGTATGTACTCACATTTTTTTTTCTGCTGAGAGTTAGTTTTGATTTTATCTCCATTATGTCCAATTAGGTTTCCTCTTGTAAAAATAAACTGTACAAATCTTTTAAGTACCAGGCAGTTCATGTAAGAGGCCAGGACAAATTTACATTCAATAGCTTTGAGTTCGAGGTATATTTTAGAAACTTTGGTGGGGGAGGCAGGGAGGATGGGAAGGAATGGAAAGGGAAAACAAAGAAGGAGGCAACAATGATTGATAAGAAATGTACTCGTTATCTTGCCCATGTAATTGTAACCCCTCTGTACGGTATTTTCACAATAAAAAATTACATACAATAGCAATATAATGAAATATATTTTTTATTGTGAAAATACAGTATAGAAGAGTTACAATTACATGGGCAAGATAATGAGTACATTTCTTATCAAGCATTGTTGCCTCCTCTTTGTTTCCCCTTCCCCTCCCTTCCCATCCTCCCCCTACCTCCCCCCATCCTCCTCCACCCCCACCAAAGTTGTAAAGTTCATTTTTCTACATAACAACTTGTACATCTCATTGTTGCAATGGGTCCACCTGTATCTCTATTTAAACGATTTGTTTTTTCCCTTTCCCTCCACAAATTATACCAACATTAAATACAGTGAAAGCAGGGGTTATACTGTGGGGGAGGACATACAAAGCAACATGGAATCATCTTATACGTTGTTGGTGGGAGTGTAAACTTGTTCAATCACTTTGGAAAGCAGTATAGAGGTTCCTCAAAAGTCCACATAGAGCTTTCCTATGACCCAGCAATCCCACTTTTGGGCATTTATCCAAATGATCACAAACAAGACCATACTAAAGCTATCAGCACAACTATGTTTATTGCAGCACTATTTACCATAGCTAAGATATGGAACCAACCCAGATGCCCCTCAGTAGATGAATGGATCAAGAAAATGCGGTATATACACACAATGGAATTCTATGCCTCCATCAGAAAGAATGACATTGCCCCATTTGTTAGGAAATGGAAAGACTTGGAAAAAATTATATTAAGTGAAGTAAGCCAGGCCCAAAGAAACATAGGTCCCATGGTTCCCCTTATTTGCAATAACTAGTATATGTCTGAGTCAAGCAGAAAAGGTTAGATAAGTTGATGTTAGGGGAATGAACCCCAAGATAAATATTCAATTGTATTTTTTTTCTTTCATGCAATTGTTTCTATAATGAAATCTATTAAAATAACGAATGATCTCCTTCAGTGAGGTAAGTTAAACTCTTCTCACTACCATACTCCAAAGAACTGCCACCCAGGAGCCCTTATTAACTCCTTTAAACTTTCTTGAATGACTCAACATGATATTTCAGCTAAAAATTTTCCCCCATATGTTCCAAAGTGCTAACCTTCTCTCAAACACGGAGTATGATTTTCTTTCCTTTGGTAATTCCAGGGCCAAAGTTAGAAGCTTGCTGATAATTATAGATAAAACCTAAGCCTAGTATTACCCATTTATCCAACACTAGCAGCTGCTGACCCCTGAGGTGTGTGTGGGGGGGGGGGGGGGAGGGAGTGGATTGCAGCCACCTGTGGATGATTGAAGACATAGCTATTTCCCATTTCCCTGTCTCTTCCAGGAAATAAGACTCCCAGCACAGGGCCCGTTGAAGGGAGAGAACCAGCTGGAGAAATAGGATGAACAAAGACCCCCATCTTCAGTGATTACACAACTTTTCTGCCAACTTTTGACTCACATAGGTTCCTGCTTAGAATCTCACAAGGGGAGGAATAGTTCTGCTAGACCAGTCCGCTCCTCTGGTCTTCTAAAATTATTATATTTTTATGGACTCTTAAAACAGTGCTCAGGAGACACGTTTACAAAGGAAACTGTGATTTATTGTTATTTTTATGTCCCATTTCAAAATGCCCATTCTTCTGCCTTCTTGGCGCTGATTTGTGTTGAAATTAAAACCTGATGGCGTATTATTTTAGAAGATCATTTGCATGAAGTCAGAAACAAAATCCGCACAGACTGTCAGGCTCAAGGTGCGTTCAATGGTGTACTCTCCTGGAGCTCGCTCCCTGGTAGAGGCGGACTGCGTTATTTTATTTCATTTTGTATTATTTGTTTGAGGTTGAGAGTAGTGGTGCGGTCACCGAGTCAGAGGGCACGGTGAAGTCGTGCCCTCCCGGGCTGCCCTCCCATCACCATCTGCCCTTTAAAAATGGCATTGGCAAAATGTGCCCCAGGGCCTTGGGGCCTCCTAGCCCCCCCCCCCCCTGCAAGGGCTTGGGCGCCTCTGCCCCGCCCAGGGGCCTCGCAGTGCCCCCCCCCCCACCCCGGCTTTCAGGGGGACCCTGACCCCCCCACCACACACACACAAGGCCCCGCTATCCGGCCTGTCAAGGCCCCTTCCTTCCCTGGGTCGCCCCAGAGCATGGTGGGCCGAGCGGGGCCGGAGGCCCTGGGGACCGAGGGGATGGAGGGGACGGGGCGGCCCGGCAGTGCCTGGGGCGGGGGGTGGGGGGGGGGCTTGGGCCGAACCCGGGATCGCGCGGTGGCGGGTCCCGGCCGAGGTGGCGGGGACGGAGGACGGGCCGTCAGGGACGGCGGGGATCACACTGTAGAGCCGGGCCGGGCGGCGGAGAAGGGGTGACGCGGGGCGGCCGGGCGCCCCCCGGCCCGGGACACAAGGCCGCACGGTTCACCCGCGCACCTCCCAGCGCCGACTCCTTCGGAGTACGACCGCACGCCTCTTATATACCCTGCTAAAAATAGCCTGGGAGGTCGCTCTCCAATCAGAACGCGAAGAGTTCGAAATAGCCCAATGGCGAAGGCCGTCATGGAGAGGCTCGGTCACGCCAGGCGGGGCCGTTGTGAGTCACCTTCGGTGATTGGTCGCAGCTGACATCATCGGCACGCAGCACCCCCCCACGGGCCGTGAGCGGCGGGATTGGACCAGCGGGTGGGAGGGGGGCGGGCGCTGAGGCCGGTCACGTGGGGGGGAGGAGCAGTGGGGGGAGCCAGGCGGGGGAGGAGGAGGGGGGCCGGCTGGCAGCGGAGCTTTGAATAGGGAAGTTTTGCAGGGGTTACGTTTGCAGTCAGTCCGGTGTTTGCAAATATTGTGTGGGCTCCGCGGCGCTGCGGGGCTGCGGGAGGCTCCGGGACCGGGGCTTGGTGGTGGGGTGGGTGTGTGTGTGCGCGTGCGGGGCTCTTTTTTTTTTCCCCCCCTTGTTGTTTGCATTTGCATTTGCCGTGCCGTCGAGTTTGCATGAAACTTTCACCTGCGCGGGGCTTGGGAGAGTTTGGGCTCCGACTCCGGATCGCGCGCCGCCCGCCGGGTGTCCCCGAGCGCGGGGACCGTCCTCCTGCCGCCGCCCGATCATGGACGTGCTCCCCATGTGCAGCATCTTCCAGGAGCTCCAGATCGTGCACGAGACCGGCTACTTCTCGGCGCTGCCCTCCCTGGAGGAGTACTGGCAACAGGTAAACCGGGAGGGCACGTGCCGGGGCGCCGGGGGAGCCGGCGGGGCGCCGGAGCTGGGGAGCCCCGCGGCTGCCGCTGCCGCTGCTGCCGCTGCTGCTTTTTCATTTTTATTTATTTATCTTGCGGGATGAGGATCGTCAGGATCCTTGGATCCATTTTTTTGTCAGAAAATAAACAGATAACAGCCATTCATTTTTCTCAAATAGGCCCTTTCCGGGGATGTTATTTTTTTAATTAAAAATAAAGATTTATGTTGTTCCCCCCCCCCCCCCCTTGCAAGCGAGGAGCCGACTTGTCAGTTGCGTGGAGCGGAGCCTCTCCCTGGAGTTCCTCCCGGAATAATCATTGTATTTATTGATTCGTGTCTTTTCATCCGTGACCTTTCTCTGAGGCTTTCAGAACCTCATCCTCCCCTCCCCAGGGAGACACACGCAGACCCCAAAACTCCAGCTCCCCTTCCCGACCCCTTGTGCCCTTTTGGGGGCACAGCCTCAGGGGGACGGGAGGGGGGGTGGGTAGGGGTGTGTGTGTGGGGGGGGGGGGGGTGGCTTGTGTTAGGTCCAAACTCCATAGCTTAGCTGAAGCGAACTTGCTGGGACGGCCAGAGGGTTTTTGTGTGGTTGCTTTTTCAAAATGACATTTTGTTTTTGTTTTGATTTTTTTTTTTTTTGGTGTTTTTAACCCACTGTGTGGGTTTTTTTTTTTTTTTTGAGTCTAAAATGTTGCCAGACAAACACAGACCAGCTTCTCTTGCTGCTGCTGCTGCTTTTTTTTTTTTTTTAATGCAAAGCCATTTCCAATTTCTTTTCTGTCTTTGGATTTCTGACCCCGCTTGCTTTATTATTATTTTTTTCTTACCTGTTCCTCTTGGCCAGGGGGTGGAGGAGCTGTTTGCCTAGCAGTGACTTGACTGGGCAGTCATATGACAATGAGCCATTCCTAGTTCCTTCAAGTCTTAGTTTAGGAAGGGTGGTTTCCGGCATTTTAGTGAAACCAGAAAATTTGAGAGCCAACAGAAATTTTAAGAAATGTGGTTTTTTTTTTTTTTCCTCTTTCCTTCTCATTCTAATTTATAGGCTTGCCTGAAGGATGAGAGACTCTTAACACTTACCCTATTGTTTTTTAAAAAAATAAAAATAAACAAGAAAGAGGATTTGGTGTGCTTGTCTCTCGGCTTTTTTTTTTTTTTTTTTAAATCTCATGGTGAATTAGCAGATGAGATACACTCTGTGGGTTTCAAAGCCTAGGAAGCTTTTTAAGAAGAATGAAATGTAAAAGTGTTGGAAGCTCCACTGACCAGTTTAATTGTTCCCAATGCTCTCCTGCCTTCCTCTCCCCCTCCCCCCTTTTTTTTCCTCCTCTAAGACGTGATTGAAATTGATCTAAGTAGTTTCCTTGGGGCATTTGGGATTTGGGCGACTGGCCAGACTTGGCCCCTGGTTGCCTTCTGAGGCTTTTAAAACTCTCTGAGAGCTTCAGTTCTGGTCCCTGGTGTTCATCAGCGTAATGGAGATTTTAAATTAGCCAGATTATTAAAGTTTAACAAGATCTCAATAAATGTGCTTTCTTTTTTTTTTCCTTTGGAACATCAATAAAATGTATGGTGGTTTCTCCTCATAACACCATAAGTATGCATTGTAACTCAGACTTCTAATTTGGGGGGGGTGATGCAATGATCAACAACCCCCCCTCCCCTTTGGTTTGTTCATGTCTGCAGGGAGGGGGAAAGACGTATATGTTATGCTAGAAGGCACGTTGCGAAATAAGCATGTGCACCGGATGGTTGGTCTGTGCCCTGAGCAGTTTGGTGTCAACATTTAAATCTGTGAGGAGCAGGCAACAGTATAGACAACCTTATATGGGCATGCAGGCAATGTAGTGGAAATCGGGACAGACATAATTTAATCCTAAAATGTTTCCTACCATTTTTCTTTTCCAGTGGCTAGAAAGTTTGAAATGGTGGGGAGAGGGGATGCTGATCTCGGCAGTTGTAGCTTCTTGAAAGGTTGGTTGTGGGGCTGGGGCGGGGCATCGTGTTCATGATACATTGCATGTATATTTGAACCGGGTCCTTATTTGGCTGTCGGTCAGAATTTCAAAAGGAAGTCTCCTCTGGCATTGCGTGAAAGAAATAGGAGTGTGGATGAGTCATACAGTTGTACTCTTGGCCAGTAGATAAAGGTCTTGCTCATTGTGGGACTCCCAGCAGAGAGGAGGAGTAATTTCCCCCTGGTATCCTTTACAATAGCACATGGCCATTCTTGGAATCAGTCCTTCCAGTCTTCCACTCCCGTTGTTGAAGTTTCTTGTTTTGCCTCTGATCACTGGAGAAGTAATTAAAGTTTGGATGGCCAGCATGGCCCTGCACTTGGAAATGACATTCTTTGAAAACCTAGGGCTAATGCTACACAGGAAATGGGTGATTTCTCTTGCAACTCTATTGATGGCTCTGAATACAGCCAGCTAGCTAGCTGCTGTAGGCTCTGAGGATGGCCGGTGTTGCCAGCTGTGTCCCCCAGGGAATCCATCCGAACACATCGGTGTGCTGTGCAGTCTTACTGTTCCGTTGTGTTGGATACTTGTGGCGTGTGTGAGTGGTGGCTGGCTGGCTGGGGTTTTCCTTCATACACATGGTTGTTAAGAATGTCAGATGATCTGGTTAAACCTGTTGTGGGGGACGGGGTGTATGTGTCAGGCCGGTTTTCTTTGTGTGGTTTACGGGAAACTCATTAGAAATGTCAACACTTGTAACTATAACAACAAAACAGGCTTAGCGATCGTCACTGGTTGTGGCCTGACTTTGGGGGAAGAAGCGAGAGAGGCTTTTTTACCCAACTACTTTTCCTTCCGAATCCTTCACCATTCCTAGAAGCTAATTTCCTGTCACGTTCACAAGGACACAGATTCTAATTGCTGAACCTTCTGTGCCCACAATGATTGACACCACCACCGATTTATCTGTCCTTTGTTCTTGCATGTTTTATGGCATGTGGGTTTTTTTGTTTGTTTTATTTTTTGTTCCGTTTCCACATTCAGGAGTCTTTTTAATAATCACGTGCCTTCTCTTTTGGTTCATTTTGCACAGACCTGCCTGGAGTTGGAGCGTTACCTGCAGAGCGAGCCCTGCTATGTGTCAGCCTCAGAAATCAAATTTGACAGCCAGGAAGATCTGTGGACCAAAATCATTCTGGCTCGAGAGAAAAAAGAGGAATCCGAACTGACTATTTCCTCCAGTCCTCCAGAGGACACGCTGATCAGCCCGAGCTTTAGTTACAACTTGGAGACCAACAGCCTGAACTCGGATGTCAGCAGCGAATCTTCCGACAGCTCTGAGGAATTGTCACCCACTACCAAGTTTACCTCTGACCCCATCGGCGAAGTCTTAGTCAATTCAGGAAACCTGAGCTCCTCCGTCACCTCCACACCCCCTTCGTCTCCAGAACTGAGTGGGGAACCTTCTCAAGTGTGGAGCTGTGTGTCTGGAGAGCTGTCTTCCCCTGGGAAGGTGCGCAGTGGGACTTTGGGAAAACCTGGTGACAAGGGCAGCGGCGACGCCTCTCCGGATAGCAGGAGAAGGGTACACCGGTGCCACTTTAATGGCTGCAGGAAAGTTTACACCAAAAGCTCCCACTTGAAAGCCCATCAGCGTACTCATACAGGTCAGTCCTCTCATGGGACCTGGGAGGTCGGCCACTAGTGGGCGCCATGGAGTCTGCCACCACTTCCAGGATGTGGTCACTGCAGTGATGGACAGCCTCACTTCTTCCTAAACGCCTTCTTCACCACACATTTGGGTCTTTGTGGCGTTTAGGGTAGAATCCTGAAGCGTGGATGTTTGACTCAGATGAGTGGTTATGACCATCAGATTAGACAAAGAGTCGTTTCCCATTGTCCAGACTCCCTCCTTCCCTTCCCCCCCCCCCCCCCCCAGACTTCCACCCACTCTGCACAATCCTGGTTCTCCAGGCTTGTGGTATGTCGTGTGTGTTGAGTTGCTTCTCAGTAAGTTTGCAGTGGAATGCCAGGGTCAGGACACAGAGCCTCTGACTAGCACAGGATGTGCTGGTATTGACTGACGAAGCAAGGCCTGAGAGCAAGCACTGATCTTGGTACTGGTCAGTGAGTATGTATTGAGGAAATCTCAGCCATGGAACAGTGGTTTCCTCAGGAGCTCTCCTCCTTAGATGAAAATGCTGCATTAAAAAATACCAGGACAGCCTGGAGGATGACTAGTGAAGAATCACAGTCTCTTTTGTGACTAGAAACACATACAAATCCTTCTGATAATGACAGGTTGTTGTAAGATGAAGTCATGGGGCTGGAAAGATGTCTTGAATGTCAGGCAGTGTATGTTCCAGATTAGCTTTAGCATTATTATTGTTATTATTTTTAATTCTCAGGTAATATCTTTTACTGAATTCATGCTTATGTTTCGACCCAAAGAATGAAGTCATTTGGTCATTTGATTGCCATTTATTTAGAAAGTGATTTGAAAGCCTTGGAATGAGGGTTCCCAGAAACTGATGATTTCAGTTTTTGTAGAGAGGTGGAAGGTCCCAGAGGAAACTCCAAAGACTCATTCCACAGGGCAGTGAGTAAGAGGCAAAACAGGGCTGGAGGGAAATGGTTTCCATGGAGAAAGCAATAAAACTCCACCATCAGTCAACAAGGCTATAGGTCTGTCAGTCCTGCGGCTGACACCTCACCCCACAAGTATTTGACCAGTCTGCATGATAGCTATTGTTACGCTCACTTTGACTTTTGGTAGCATGGAGTTTACCAAACATGGGTTCCTGGGATGATAACAGGGTAGAGATTTGAGTAGGGACAGGAAACTTGCAGATATCCAGGTGTTGTCCTTCATTGAAGTGCACGGTGAATTCTTGAAGGCACTGGGGAACCCTGAACTTGCACTTGGCCACTGTCTCTGCTGTTGACCTTCCCCCTCCCGTCAACATGTCAGTGAAGTCATGGTGCGTGTATCATGTGCTCTCTTCCCAGGAGAAAAGCCTTACAGATGCTCATGGGAAGGGTGTGAGTGGCGTTTTGCCAGAAGTGATGAGTTAACCAGACACTTCCGAAAGCACACTGGTGCCAAGCCCTTTAAATGCTCCCACTGTGACAGGTACGTAAATGAGGGCTGCGCTGGAAGAGAAGTGTAGGGCCATGGGAATGTGGTACCCAAAATAGATGAGGGTGCAGTGAGGGTTTTTCTTGTCTGTGCTGCCCTTCCTGGGTCTTGAACTCAGGGCCTAGATTCTATCACTTCAGTATTGTTCACTCAAGGCTAGCAGTAGGCCACTTGAGGCACACCTCTACTTCTGGCTTTTTGCTGGTTCAGTAATTGGAGCTAAATGTTGTCTCATGGACTCTTGCTGTCTGGGCTGCCTTCAAACAATGATCTTCAGATTTCAGCCACCGGAAGGAACCAGGACTTCAGGCATGAGCCACTAGCACCCAGCTGGAGTAGATCTTTGCAGGAAGCTCAAGGATTTCCTACCTTTGGTTGACGTTTGTTTTTAAGCCAAGGGCTTTTTAGAAAGTCTCTGTGGATGTGAAAATGCCCTCATTAGGACACAGCTGCACCAGGTGTCCTTGGAAACAGCGTGATTTTGTGTATACTTTTTCAAGATTAGTCATCCACTGGTTTGTACCTTTGAGCCATTAGACCTGAGGTCAGATGAACTTTCAGAGAGGACTCCCCAGCTTCTGATGGGAGACCATTTTCATTTGCCTTCCTAAGTAAAGATGTGCTATCCTGGAACAGGTTGGCAAAGACTCAGGACATACACACACACACACACACACACACAGACACACACACACACACAGACTCAGGACATACACACACACACACACACACAGACTCAGGGCATACACACACACACACACACACACACACAGACTCAGGACATATACACACACACACATACACACACACAGACACACACACCAACCCCCTACTGCTTCCTCCAGGAGGCTGAGCGATAGTTCTGGGCAGAAGGTGGAAAGGAGGCATTTGAGGAAACCTAACTTCTTGACTTCTGATTTGCCCCTTGCAGGTGTTTCTCCAGGTCTGACCACCTGGCCCTGCACATGAAGCGGCACCTCTGAGGGAACAGAGGGTGAAACTCCTGTAGGCTAAGAGGCTTCCAGGCTGAGAGACGGCCGTGGAAGGAGGGATGCGTGTTCCAGCCAAAGCATGCCATTTTGTACCCTACCCAGTTGCCTCCAGGGTCTCTTCTTTGGAAGGTGTTTAGAGGGCTAACACAAAGTCTTGTGAGAAACGGCATAGCACTTGTGGTGCTTGGTGTTGGGGTGACCCTGGACTCGCCACTGGTACTCGACCTTCTGAGGGGCGCCCGCGCCTCGGCCGTGAGCATGCGCACTGAGAATGTGAATGGTTGGGTTTGACTGTATGTTGAGGATCTGATACTGACTGTATGGTGGGCAGACTTTTTTTCTTTCCTTGTGAGGGGGGAAAAAAGAAAAAAAAAACAAAAAACAACAAACCAGTTTGAATGTTATGTGTGTAAGGAACATACCATGAAATGAGAGAACCACCTATCATTTCCTGGGGGGATGTGTTTGCACCTCAGATTTAAAAAACAAACAAAAAAATTAAAAAAAAAAAAAGAAAATAAAAAAAAAAGAAGGAAAAACGTGGAGGGTGGTGGGAGTGGGAACTCAGGACCCCAGAGTGGTGAGTGGTAAGGGACAAGGGGAGCCCCTGTCCCCCTTTCCTGTGTGAGAGGAACTTTTGATGTCTGGTGCAGCTATTAAAACGTGCAATGTATCAAGTAGCTTGTCGGACTTGCTACAGACAGCTCATCCTGTCACCCATTGTATAAGCTGTATTTACAAATAGAACACAATAATGATTTTTCCTTATAATACAAAAAAAAAAGTCATGCATGGTCTGGGGGAACTATCTACTTTTCCATTTTTAGATCCAGACTGCAATCTCGATTCCAATTAATGAGCAGCTAAGATGCAATTTGTCTAATACAACAATCCGCCTTAGCAGCTTGGCTTAGCAAGACACAGTTTCCCCGCCCCCACCCCCCTTCGATTTTATAACCTCCCCACTTTTCCAGAAAAGAGGTATTGTGCAGTGCGTTGCAGAATCATTTGTAATGATTCTGAATTTAAATTAGCCTTTTTTTTTTCTCGGAGAAGTTTGTGATGCCCTTTGGAGAAATTAGACATATATTGAGTATCGAAAAGCTAGGGCTGGAAGTTGCTGGTCTAAAGTCACATTAGGGTAAGAACCTAAAATTTTTCTCAGTTGGGTGGATAAAACCACTAAGCTTAGAAACTGTTTTCTCATGCAGCTATGTTTCTCTTATTTATGCCTTGAGGACTAATTTCTGGTTTTCTAGCTGTTAATGCACTGTTGACCCTTCATAATGGTGCCTTATGGAAGTAACCCCTTAGTGGGGGGTTGCATACAGGGGTATGGGTGATGCATGCTTAATTAAGGCTCTTTTTCACCTGGCATTGTACTGTATTAATGTATAATACACAAAAAGAAAAAAAAATCTCTTTAAGGTCCTCCTTCACAAAGAAAAACAGGCAAAGAAAATCCTCTTGACATGTCAGTATTTGGTCATTATTTCAGACTACTTGACTGTCAGTATTAAAGAAGGGGAAAAATAACCCCCCCCCCAAAAAAAAAACCGAACATACGATCATTGAAAAAAATCTGACCAATTCTGCCACAGTGAGACTTCCACATAGACCTTGCACAACAATTGTATAGATCACACACCGGCTGTATTTAATATGTAATATTTTCACACATATTAAAGATACAGAAATATATTTAAAAAATCAATGTCAATGTATTTGCTTAAAAGGCACAAGTTTCACATATCTATCTAACTGTTGGTAATACAGAAAGTGTACTACTTTTTTTTTTTAGAGTGGGCGGAATTCTTGTGTATGTATATTTGCGTGTATAGTATGTGTATGTGTATATATATATATATATTATATATAGATAATATATAAATATATTTTTAAGGAGAAACTAGAATGTTTAGCTAGAAAATTCTACAGCCTGTGAAGAGATATTTCAAAATGGCCATAAAGGAGGTTAAAAAAATAAGAAAACTATAACCTAACTTTTTATAGAGGCTTTGTCTTTAATTTAATAATTTGCTGAAGACTTTCTTGGCATTGAATCAATTCCATACTGCTGATGTTGCTTGACATTATTGGCCAGTTGGAATAGGCACCTTTGGCCATTTAGAAGTGTTATGAACAGAATACCAGCAAACCAGTTGGACTCAGACACACCAAGATTTTGATTTGAATTTCAGCCTTATTAGAAGATCTAACCTAAGAGTAAGGTAATCACAGGGATTCTTTTTTAGAACACTTTTTATGCAGATGAAGCTATTTTTTCCAGCATGTTGGTTCTCCCACTTTTTCCATGAAGAAATCTCCCCGAATTGGCATATACATAAGAGGACAGCTGATATTTCATCAAGCTGCAGGTTTCTGGTGTGGATCTTTTCTTTATATATATATATTTATATATAAGATATGTACATATCTTTATATATCTATATATATGCATATATATATATATATATGTATGTGAGTCTGATTGGGCTGGTATTTTGTTTGATCTTCCTGGAAATGAGCAATGATCAAAGCTCACAGAACTGGTTTTTGTTTTTGTTTCTTTTTTTGTTTTTGTTTTTTAAATCTGGGCTGTTGAGTACATTTACCTAAAGAACTTACTTCATTTTGCTTGGGGGGGCGACTATGCACTCTGTATTTGGTGATTCAGAATCCAAGCACTTGATTTGCTAGGTTTTTGGAAAACTCCTTTTTTGGCCCTGCTGAGTGCTTAGCCATAACAATTGCATTAAGCAAGAAAGTAAACAAAAAGAAAAAAGAAAAAAAAACTTGCACTGGCTTGTCTCTCTTATGAAACACCATTGGAAGTTGTTTGACTGGGTGGGGCTGGGTGCCAACGTTTGTCAATGCCTGTAATTTTCATAATAAGCAAGTACATAAAGAAGTATATTCTGTTCAGGTGATAACTGAGCCTCGATCAAGCAGAAACTTTTGCTTGAAATTAAAAAAAAAATTTCTATCAGTGAAATTTCTTTTATTTCTTTTTTTTTTGGAAGCACCCTGTTATCTAAAGAATCTTTGTAAGATTTTTGTAAACTTTTGTTTTACAAGATTTTATTTGAAATTGTTTTTTGCAAGATTGTTATATTTCTGTATGAATGTATTTTTTATTGGAATAACATAAAAAGACTTCTTATCAGCGTCTTGAGTCAGGTTGTTTTTCTGGGCTGGTAGGGTGGGGGGGGGGGGAGAGGAAAAGGAGCTGGTGAACCGAATTCCTGCTCAATTACTCATCTCTGGCTTCCTTCTGGGTAAATCTCCATTGTCCAGTTCTGAGAGCCAGTCCCTGCCTTTCCACTTACCACACAGTCTGTCCTGGAAGCCTGAAATCCATTGGATTCTCTTCAAAGTCTGACCAAAGTAGGCCCTGGCTTTGGGGCATAGGAGGGAAGATACTAAGACCCTCAAGCCAGAGGACTGACTCTATGCTGATGAACACAGGTGACCCCTTTTCACTTCCCCCACCCCCTCCAGCAGTCCTGTTAGACAGCAGTGATAGCTGGGCCAGCCTTCCCGGATTGACTACAGTTACCTAGCTGGGCTGAGGTCTGAGCACCGGGAAGCTGGACCAGAAAGGCATTCAACTCATTCCTCCCCTCCACCCTCACCCCCCGCCCCCCCAGCCTTCCTGGCTTAGCCCCGGAAAGTAGGGCAGAAAGTAAAAATTACATCACCACCACATGATATTATATCCTCTTTTATAGGCCTACTGGACACATTAAATATAGTTCATATGAAAATAAAACAAAGCAGGCAGCTTATTATCTTTCAGAGTGACGATTTTAGTGAGTGAACTTTTGAGAAGTCGGTTTGAGTTTTACTTTACCCCGTGGATCTGAGCTAACTACAAACGGGGACTATCTGAGTGTCCATTTTCAGATTATATTAAGGCAATCAGTGGTAGGACAAAAATCAATTAGGAGGGTGGGCTTCCCTGGTTAACTAGTTCACATTCTTTTGGGGGAGGGGAGAGAGGGGCAACGCAATGGTGACTGTTTTAGTGAATTGTTTTGTTTCGCTATAGATCTTTACTAAGTGCTTTACTGATATAATTGAAGAAGGGTAATTTAAAAGTGTACTCAGTTTAGAAATTTTAGGAAATTTGTTGTTCTACAGGCAAATGTAAGCCATTGTGGCAGGCAAGGTAGGACTTAGGGAGCTGGTGGTATTGTCAGAATTCACGGTCATTTTGTGTTCCTGTACACATCAGCATGACTGACAGTTGGATGGGCCTTCTGACTGTACAATCTAAATAAAGGCTTGATCATGTGTTCCCTGCTGCTATTAAGACTTGACCACTTTGTCATGCTACTTCTAAGCCTGACAGCTACGTTATTCGTGTAAGGCTGTTGGAACAGTTGTGCAAGGAATCAGCTGCAACCTTAGGCTATTTATAGATGTATAAATAAAAAATGTCAGTCTGCTTAACTAAGTTTTTGAAACCTCACTAGAAGCAGGGAAATAGTCTGCCTCTCACAAGCTGTGTGCTGTTAGGACCATTCACTGAGCTGCCGTGGGTCTCACTTTGCTTATTGCTAAAAATTGTTTGGGCTTGATCACATCCATCTAGCATTTTCCATAACACTGCAATTCTGTAGTCTGTGAGTACGGGGGCAGACCTCAAATTACATGTTCGCCATCTTCTGAGTGCTTGGCTCAGATCTAGGAAACTTTCTCTTACGCTACAGGGGAAAGTTCTTGAAAAAAATTGCTCTAAAAATGGAAAATAGGACGTTCTCAAACTGCTTTTTACCCCTCTAATTAATGGTAAGTTATTCAGGCATTTGATGCTTTCTAGCATATAATTTTTTTAAAAATTTTAAAAATGCTTATTTGAAAAGTGCTATTGTAGCCCTAAATAGATTAGGACTTCCAAATTCCTTCAGTTCCCCAATAGTAGTACATCTACAAGTGGGCCTATATGCTCAAAGAATAATGGAGATGATAAAAATTTCTTTCTTCTAATTTCTGTAGTGATAGAGCACAGCTTCCATTTGTAGTGTTTTTATGCTTTAACATTAAATCTCCACCAGCTATTTCTTTTTAAACAATTCCCATTCCCAAATGAATTAATTTCCCTGCAAGGTGATGCTATTTGCTACTTCTTGGTATGCCTTAATCAGGAATTAGGGTGCAATATGTTTCTCTATACATTTCCCATATATAATTATCTATCTATCTCAATACACACACTACCCATCTGTCTATGTGGGACTCAGATTTGTTCTTTGTCTATCTGTGTGTGTGTGTGTGTGTGTGTGTAGTACTCTGGGTATTAGATATATTAGGTATTATATACTTTTCAAGTGAGAAAAATTGAGGTTTCCATAAATGATGTCCCTTTCCTGAGGTCTGACTGCTAGAAAGCAGCAGGCTCAGTGTTCTTTGGAGCTTCCATGGATACCAAGCACTATGATTTTGACCATGACTCTGTGTTGTTCCTTTCTGTCTTGCCCAACCTCTCCTGTGGCAGCTCCCATTCAATCTTCAGGATTCCCCTAAACGTGACATTTCATTTATGAAATGGAGAGAGAGCTTTCTCCCCAGTTAGAAGCGCCGAAGCTGTAAACTGAGCTGTGATCTTAAGAAAGCAAACGTAACCATTTTGAATTGCTTTCAAGATATGAGACAGATGGCACGTATTTATTTTTAATGTTTAAGAATACAGAGAAAGCCACTGGGGATGTGACATCCTGCGTTAATTGGCAGGAATCACCTAATGTACATAGTTAAGCTACAAAGAGGAAAATTAGGTCCATGCATCACACAAATGAGGCAATACAACCAAGTGTATTTAACTAGATTTATTTTATGGCAAGGTCTTTCTGTTTCACTCTAAGTAATTTTAATGAGAATTCTTCAAACGTCTGTGAGTGAAAAGAGACAAAGAAGAGAACAAATCTGGGTCCCACATGTCCTAAAAGAAGCCACTTTGGGCTGAGCAGTCAACTGCAGAAACTTCAATAAAAGGTAGCTCTAATCAGAATTCACATTAGCTGTAAAAGACCCTCAAAATTCCAGTTACAAGCCCCTCCCTTACTTCCTCTTACATAATTGTTCAAGGGGGGAGAAGTTATCGCAGGATAACCCGATCTCAATCTGCCATGAAAAAAAGAAGACCAAATGCCTAGATAATGGATAAATGTCCATCATGTCACGCGCCACCTTTTCTAAAGACTCATATTTTATAGATGACACAGCACATGTACAAGTGACTTACATGTATCAACTTCACACAGCTCTGTTCCCCTTGATTTCTTAAGTTTCACATTGCCACATTTCATTTTTGTTGTGCAAGATCTGCTTCCAGATGTGCAAGATAGTTAATGACAGGCACTGACATTATCAATTAGTTCACTCTAAAACCAGAAGTATTAGCTGGGTGACATTCTGCTGTGGGTGTTGGTGAGGAGAAAAATGGGAAAGGTAAGAAGGCAGTGGAATTCAGTCTCGAGAATCCACTCCAAGGTAAGAAGTTGAAAAACCCACCATCTCATCTCAACTTCCTTGGTACAAGTTACTACCCTCCATCCAACTGCTTATCTATTCATGAAGTCAAGAGTTAGAGCAACTTGGCTCAGAATGAGGTGTGTGTGTGTGTCTGTGTGTGTGTGTGTGTGTGTGTGTGTGTGTGTGTGTGTGTGTGTGTGTGTGTAATATTTAATTGAAAAAGTCTAAAACTTCAGAGTAAAATTTCCTCTGGCAAAAAGTACTTCTTATAAATTATTTGGCTAGTGTAAATTACAGAGAACAATAGTGTGAGTCACAAATTGCAAGCACTGAGCTATCATGATCCAAAGTTAAATATCTGTCGCCATGTCCTCACCTAAGAGGGAGACTAGGAGACAGGAGCCACCAGGGAGCTGTACATCAGAAGGCCACCAGGAAGTGGCTCACTCCTCAAATTGCTCCCATCAACATCTCATAGATATGAGGGGGAGATGATATAACATTGTTGTGAATGGAACCTTTTCAACATGGAGCTGTAATCCACGCAGATGATCCCAAAGGACATGCTTGATTGTCTCCAATATGTGGAGTGACTTGCTCCTCAAAGTTCAAGAAGATCGAGAGTCCTATGGAAACAAGGCCAGTCACATTCTCCACCTGACTAGAGATGGGGCTCTACAGAGACAAGTCTTCCCGTAACTGCTGATTCACTGTGGATCAATCATAATCTTGCCAAGCTCCTGACCTTGGGTACCCAAGAACATTGCCTTTTGAGTATCTGAAGTAGTAGGGTGGAGCCTGGAAACAACCACTCAGGAAAGTGGGAATAGGTGTGGCCCAAGCATCTTATAGCCTTTTCTTTAGTAGTGAGTTTTCATGGAGAGTTGTTAAGAGTTATAAGGCTTAGTGGTACCATCCTTGCTTAGCATGCATAAAGCCCTGGGTTCGATTCCTCAGTACCACATAAACAGAAGAAGCTGGACAGTGAGCCTTGATTGAGCACAGAGAAGCTCAGGGACAGTGCCTAGGCCCTGAGTTCAAGCCCCAGAAGCAGGAAAAAAAAAAAAAAAGGCAGTGAAACCTCAGAGTTA